AAATAGAGTTTGATAAGCTGTGTCGAATGGCGTTTGAATGAACTTTCTAGCTGTTAAAGCTTCCGAGTTAATTGAAGAACAGTGTGTCAAAAACGTAACAGCGTTACGTTTGGACAAGCCGAGTTACTGTTTCATTGAATTAACAGTGTTTTCATATGTATTTTTTTTTGTTTGATTTAAATATATTTTGTAGAGATTCAGAAGAGCGTTGCTGATAATTAGGTCAAGAAAAATGCGCTTTTAGTAATAAGAAACGATCCTAAATTTTTTTTCCGGACTTTTGAGTTTCACATTTGGCAATACTAAACTCAACAACAAAATAGTTTCCACTGATCAATCTTCATAAAAGCATGACTATAATTTAGTGTGAATTGCTGACATATCTTAAAACGACTACTCGCTTTACTTATAATGAAAATCTGCTTGTAAATTCTAAATATTAATATGTATTCGCTCTACAATAAAATATTTGCATTACAATAAGAATCAATTATTACTTTAGAATGAACACTGTTCTTTGTTTCATGCATATTTTTTATTGCTTAACAAAAACAATAGCAATTTTGCTTCGTACTATGCCAATTAATAGTCAATATAGAAGTTGATTGTTTTACTCAAAATATCTATAATTTATACTATATTCTGATGATTTGCAATTGAATACGAACAAATACATAATTGAATAATTTTTTTTTAAATTTTAGCGAATGTTGCAATAACATTAGATCAATTCAAGAAAATAATGCCTCGTAGTAACCATTCAGATTATCTTCCATATTTAAATAATGCGCTGGATGAAGGTGAAATTAGCACATGTCGTCGTAAATCAGCATTTTTAGCTCAATTAGCACATGAATCTCAAGAACTTAAATATATGGAAGAAATAGCTTCTGGTCAAGCATATGAAGGTCGAAAAGATCTTGGTAATATCAAACCAGGTGATGGAAAACGATATAAAGGACGTGGTCCTATTCAACTGACAGGTCGTATAAATTATAGAAAAGCTGGTCAAGCACTTGGATTAGATTTAGAAGCGCATTCTGAACAAGTTTCCACACCTAAAGTTGGTTTTCGAACAAGTGTATGGTTTTGGACATCGCATGATTTAAATGGTCTAGCTGATGATGGTACATTAGCTTCATTTAAGGAAATAACATATAAAATTAATGGTGGATACAATGGTGAAGCTGATCGTGAACAATATTGGAATAGAGCCAAAAAAGTTCTCAATTGTAAATGATAATTTTAACATTATTTTTTTTTATCTCAGAAACTATTATAATTGATTATAAGAATATAAAGCTGATTTATTCACTTGTTTACATGATTAATTCTCAGGATAGTTTTAAGAAATTATTATCTCTGATGAATTATATGCATGTGTATGTTTTTGTGATCAACATTAAAATTTTTTTGTTTTACTAAAAAGAAAAAGGTGAAATTTTGATAAGAAAACGTATGGATATTGGGTGAGACCTATTATATTAATCCTTTACTCTCCTAAAATCGATCTGTCAAAGTTAGTATTAATTCAACTATAGGAATAGCCTAAACATGGGCCCAACATGCCGAGAAATTAGCCAAATTTCAATGAAATTTTTTCTCGACGATACTTAAAAATGGGTCGAAAACGAGCCATTTAGATTGAGTACCATGGAAATTCGATTTTTTTTCAACATGCTATTTTTACGATTTTTTTGGATTGTTTATGCTGAATTCCTATGGTTTGACGTATATTCTTCTCGTAAGAACAGCTTTTTCTGCAAAATGGAATTTGTCAAAAATGATATTAAATACTTTTAATTATTTTTAAACGAAACTTGACAATGACAGCATAGAACAAGCCTTAATATGTAGTGATAGGAACGTAAGAAATAGACAAGTCAATAAAAGAGGGTGTGGGTGTGGGTGTGGGTGTGGGTGTGGGTGCGGGTGCGGGTGTGGGTGTAGGCATGGGTGTGGGTTTGTGTCT